TGGCGGGATTGAAGCTGCCAGCAGCTGCCACCACCAGGATCCTTGATTTGGAACCTGGAGTAGAAGGTGGGCCTGAATCCCCTCTCCCAACCATCCCTGATCTAGGGATATCGGTTAATTGAATAGCCTTTTAACCTCATGAATTCTTATTGGTTAGTCGACAATTCTGTTGTCCCTGGGGGCGAGGCCGGCAGCCTGTGTGATCTGGCCACACTCCCAAGGAGGCCCCTGCTACTCCGTGCTGCTGCCTCTGTATCAGAGGCAGCAGCACAGGGTGCCAGGAGGGAGCTGGTCTGTGAGAGGAGCCAGTTTAAAAACCAGCTCCCCTCGCAGACCGGCTGCCTTTTGCCCTGTGCTGCTGCTGCCTCTGATAAAGAAGCAGCAGCACGGGGTGGCAGCAACCCTTTTTCAGGGGGTGTCTGAGCTCCCGGAGCCGGTGCGAGCCGGAACTGAGTCAGGCTGCCCAGCTCTTAATACACTTTAAATGCAGAGCCGCAGCGGGGTAAGTCCCAGCGCCATCGCAAGCCAGGACTGTACCGGGCTGCTGGGCAGTCTACTAAAAATTTTATTGGCAATGCGGAGGGGCGGGGGAATGCAAGTAGTCTGTAGTATTAACCTATAAGCTTCTGCTTATCGGTTAATCGACTACACGATTACATCCCTACCCTGATCCGATACTGTGATACCTCCGGAGAGGGGAGCCAGTGTTAAGAAAGGAGGCCAGATTGGTCTTATTAAACCTGAGGGGGCAACAGAGACTGAATTCTCCAACTAAGCCCCTTGTTACCCTGTGATGGAAATGACTCTAGAGAGGGAAAGACTACACATCTACATTTTTGTTAATCTCTAAGGTGCTGCAGGACTATTCATTGTTTTTAAAGTTTCTTCAATTACAGACTAATACGGCTATCCCTCTGAAGCTGAGGGTCACAGTGAGCCTCTGGGACCCACCAGTAAGCATGGGACCCACTGGAGTAAGGTCACACTGTCTAAAACAACATTTAGGATAAATGGTTATCCCATTTCTTGGTGTGTGAAGCTTAGTTTGTGTGTTTTATTTGCTCAGTAATCTGCTTTCTCCTGTTTGCTATCCCTTAAAATTACTTAACATTTCCCTTTTGTAGTTAATAAATGTACTTCTTTATATCAAAACCCAATGTGTGCAATTCATAACGGGGGAGGGATAAGGGGGGGGTTAAGCTGTGTATATCTTCGTCCACATGAAGGAGAGGCACATTTCATGAGCTTGTGCTATATGGATTTCTATACAGTATGGCTACGTCTACACTGGCATGATTTTCCGGAAATGCTTATAACGGAAAAGTTTTCCGTTAAAAGCATTTTCGGAAAAAGCACGTCTAGATTGGCAGGATGCTTTTCCGGAAAAGCACTTTTTGCGGAAAAGCGTCCGTGCCAATCTAGATGCGCTTTTCCGCAAAAAGCCCCGATCGTCATTTTCGCGATCGGGGCTTTTTTTGCGGAAAAGAAATCTCTGCTGTCTACACGGGCCCTTTTCCGGAACAGGGACTTTCCGTTTCAGAGTGTGATGGGATGGCCCCCTATTTTGGGTGCCACTGGATGTGCTGGGCTCACACTGAACCCAACGGTCTCTCCACCTGGGTTTACATCACTGTGTGATGCTGTGACTGGCTCTTAAGCCCCTTTCCGGCACGCGCACCAGTAGGAAACCCCCCAACTGTAAAATTACACACAAGCTGATCACCTCTGTGGGAGGACTCAGCCTGGGGAGTGGCCAGCCCACCTGTGCACACCCCCTCTGGAGTGCAGCCCGCAAATTACACTCTCTTATAGGCTGTGTCTACACTGGCCACTTATTCCGGAAAATCAGCCGCTTTTCCGGAATAACTTGCCAGCTGTCTACACTGGCCCCTTGAATTTCCGGAAACGCACTGACGATCTACTGTAAAATCATCAGTGCTTTTCCGGAAAAACTATGCTGCTCCCATTCGGGCAAGAGTCCTTTTCCGGAAAAATGTTCCGGAAAAGGGCCAGTGTAGACAGCACAGATTTCTTTTCTGCAAAAAAGCCCCGATCGCGAAAATGACGATCAGGCTTTTTTGCGGAAAAGCACGTCTACATTGGCACGGACGCTTTTCCAGAAAAAGTGCTTTTCCAGAAAAGCATCCTGCCAATGTAGACGCGCTTTTTCCGGAAATACTTATAACGGAAAACTGTTCCGTTTTAAGCATTTCCGGAAAATCATGCCAGTGTAGACGTAGCCCATATGTTTATATCCCACTGTCTCAGTCAACTCTCTTCCAAATTTGGCAGTCCCAGTCTAAGGCAGTTATAAAGGCTTCATTTCTCAGTGGTATTGTTTATACTGGAAATTAATTACGCCACTACATTCCTTGGCCATACTACACACGGAGCTGCCTCGTGGGAGGGGGTTCAAGCGCTCAGGCTGCATAGGGCACCACAATCTATCTGTACAGTAAGCCCTGTGCCTCCACAACTGTGTCTCTGAATCCAGACAGTCGCTCTCCTCTCTGCTGAGCTCACACAGAAAAGCCAGCCCGCTAAGTTAAATTTTGCAGGACTTGCAAGTGGGAGGGCTGGGTAGCCGGTTACCTGGATGCAGAGCAGTGGAGTTCAAATGGCTGACCAGAGTGACAGATTGGGAATTATGGGCCACTTCCTGGAGGCCAAAATCAGCAACAAATTGTCTCAAGCTGCATCTTTATCAACAACACAGGGAGGGGAAAAGATAAAAGTCCCGTGTGGAGCTAGGATTTTTCCCCAACAGAAGTCACATAGCAGTGTGAACACTTATGCCGTTTTGTCACCGGAGGCACTTTTCCTCAACAAACCTTGCCAAGGTAGACAAAACCTGAGACAGATAATAGAGAATGCAAAAGGCGTAAGGAGGAGCCCATTACAGTACATTGCTATGATTGTTTTTCATCTCACATGTGACAATGTAGTACATGGACTTGGAAGATTTGCAGCGCCCGGCATGGCGCACTCTACTTGTCTTTGTCATTAAAATCTGCCCTCTCCAAAAATTACCTTTTGAGGGATTTCTTAGTGTTTTCAGACAGTCCATTGGTTTGTGGGTGATATGGGCAGATGAAGCTTTGTTCAATTCTCATGTTTTGGCAAATATCTAGATTAGACTAAAAAAATAAATGGTGCCATAAACCCTTCACTGGACTGTTAACAATCCCCATTGGTGGATTAAACGAAAAGAAAATGTTGACACCATCCCAGGTAATTAGTTAGCCTGGAAGTTACATGATCCAACAGAATAAAGTTCTAAAAAAATAAGAGAAAAAAGTTAGAATTAAAAATTACAGTAAAAAACCTAGCAAGTGCTATACTAGAAAAAAAAGTCACTCCTAAAACTATTACTTTTGTTCTTAATGTTCTTATGTACTAGCAACTAGCACTGTTGATTAATTGCATGCCAGTAAGTCACTAAGATTAATCACACTGCTAAGCAATAGAATACCAATAACATTGACTATTTTGCATGTTTTTCTACGTTTTCAAATATATTGATTGTATGCGTAAATACTGTGCTTTTAATATTTTTTATGCCCGTGACCATAATGATACTGCATAAAATGAGGGAATGATGAACATTGAATTATGGGAAGTCGATCCCATGACCCATGTAGGCCCCAGCATGAGTTACCAACACTTCCCAAAATACCCATGCATTGCACTGTGAAAATGATAAAACAAATAGCATTTTGCAATTCAGTTTCATACAGGTGCTGCAGTGCAATCTCTGTATGGTGAAAGCATTGCTTACAAACCGAGATTTTTTGGTTGTATAGTTGCACTCAAAACCAAAACAACAAAACTTTAGCACCAACATTTCCCCTCACTCCTCCTCCTTGGTTCAGCCATTCTCTCAGCTAAACCAGAGCACCATTACACTTTGCAGGCGATCATGCTGCCTGCTTCCTGTTTGCAATGTCCCCTGAAAGTGAGAACAGGTGTTTGCATGGCACTTTTGTAGCAGACACTGCAAGCTATTTACATAGAATTGAGAGAACTTGCAGGCTCTGAAGTTGCATGTTGTTTTATTTTTGAGTGCAGGTTTGTTTGTTTCTTGCAGTTCTACATTTGTAAGTTAAACTTTCATGATAAAGTGATATTAGGTGACTTGAAAAAATACAATTTTTTACAGTGCAATTATTTGTAATCAAAATAAAACCGAGTGCCGTCCACTTTGTAGTCTGTGTTGTAACTGACATTTTTGACAGTTTAGAAAACATCCAAAAATATTGAAATAAATGGTGATCTATTATGGCTGCCAGCATCATTTATAGTGCAATTAATACTTTCATCACAACTGTTTGTCAGCCCTGTTAATAACTATTTATTTGTAAACATTTTCAATCAGTATTTACTATTAAAACATACATGAAATAGTAGAGTGACATGCACCTGCCGAATAACAAGAAAGAGAAATGATGAAGTGCGAAGAATTATAAAAACAGCATTATCAAATATAAACAATTCGGAGCCAAAGTATCCTTCCAATGGCCTACAGGAAAGGGAGAGCAACTCAGGGAACGCAACAGCAGATAAGACATTTTCTTTGTGAAGGACTAGGAGACTGTATGTAGACTTGAAGATGGAAAAAGGGGTCTTTTAAACATTCCAAATGTGTGACCATGTTGAGGGGCGTGTGTAAATAGTTAATGGAACGCCCCAATAGGCTGTACCAGAGCAGGTCTCAACCTGGATAGGGACCCCAAGGAGGGTGGGCAGCCCATTTTAAGGGGGTCACCAGGGTCAGCATTAGACATGGGGACCCAGATTACCCTGAAACCCAAGCTCCACCCCAGGGCTTTGGGTCCCTCGCCTGGGGTGGCGGAGTTGGACTCGGACCCTCCCCAGAGGGCTGGGTAGTGACTCACTTCCAGAAGGGGGTGGGCACCCCTCCCCCCTGTGCTATGAAGTCTGGGACCCTCTGTATGAGCGGGCACTGGGATTTCCAGCTCTTCGCAGCCTGCACGGTGCCATCCGCCCTGGGAGAGGGAAAATAACCCCCCTCCCCAACCTATTTTTGCATACCCCTTATTCCGCAGGGGTAACTCCTACCCCCCCTTCCCCAGGCAGCCCCTTCCCCTGGGGTTTTGCCCCAACAGCGCCTCCCCTGCCCTTCACCCAGCTCCCCGGCACCCTGACTCTGTCCTTCAGCCCCCCCCTCCTGCCCCTGCCCCTGGCTGCGCTTTTGGCCCTGCCAAGAGCAGGCAGATGCTGGGGAAAATCAGGCAGACACTGCC